CTTGTAAACAGCTGTATTTCAAAGTACAAGCTCTAAAAGTTCTTCCTGTTCTACCAGTTTCTTGCAGTGGAGGCTGCTATTTTTTTCAATCTTTGCTAACCTTTTTCTGTGAATACAGAGGTTCACACTTGCACATTTTGTGCGACTTACTTCATCTGAGATGCTTTCACTTTATTCCTGTTTGAAACTTTCAGCCAATACATTTGAAAAGAGCACCATGATTTCTGTTTAACAAAATGCGTGATAATCAGAATTGGTCAGTTCTCTATCACTGATGTCACTTGGTCTTAAAAATTGGTCCCCAGACTAGACTGTGAACTATCTCATCTGTCTTTAATTGTGTAAATTTTAAGCTTCATAATATGTAAGTTAGTCATGTAACCTAGCAACGTAGTCAAGAGAAAAAAAAATTGACCTTGAATCTAGTTCAACAAATCTGTAGAGAGAGAGAGAGGGAGGAGGAGGAATTAAATTCCAGAAATGCGTGCCTCTGTGTTTTGCAGGGGGAGTGTTGTTGCCTGTCTTCTGAATGTGTAGATCAAAATAAGATGAATTCCACCATCAGTATTTCTCCCAGGGATATGATATTTTTGTATTGCAGTAGAACAGAGAAAAGAAGGATCATCTGGTTAAAAATCATTATTCCTTGAACATCTTACAGTATTGCAGCAGTATTTTGTAGTCTTTCTACCGTTGAGTCTCTCTGCTTCTTGTTCTATTCTTACAGTTAGCAATCACTACAAAATTAAGCATATTTTGATGTTACAAAGTAACAAGAAAACAGCTTTATTTTGCTTTTGTGAATAATTTCCTGTTCAATATATGTATTTAAGTCTCTGCTATAATTTTATGTGGCACCTTACCACATGCTGGATTTTACATTCATCTTTATTCTTTATTTTTAGACCTTTTCTGTATTCTAAACTCATAATTTTGAAGTAATTAGAATGCCAAATAGAATGAAGCTTATTGATACACTGTAAAGTTATGATGTAGGTGAATGCTAGGCTTAGCAAAATGTAAAAAGCAAAGTACTAAATATTTTCTGGTGAGTGTATTAGGAAGTTTGTAGATAAGCAGAAGACTTTTGTAGTCTGAGAGTAAGATGGGCTGTAAGATTTCTGTGTATCGTAGAAGTACTAGTGGATTATTCATAATTAAAACCTCCTTCTTTACTCAGATCAGTAAATTGCTGTATTTTGTAATGTAGTCTGTAAGTTTCTTTAAAAAAATAAATCCTGATTTTGAGTAATACTTCTAATAATTCTTCCTTTCTATCTAATTTTTTGTATCTGTGCTTGTGTTCTTATGTACGGAGGAACTTCAAGTCCTGAGATACTCTCCCCTACTCCCCACTCCTCCTATTTTTTTTCCCTAAACTCCTCACTGTGTATTTGCAGGATATTGTTACTAGAGTTAGACTTGCTGATGTCTATAAGATGGATCAGAAGGAAGGTCCAAGGAACTACAGGCCTGTTAGCCTGACCTCAGTACTGGGGAAGATCATATAGCAGATCATTTGACTATGGTAATGCAGTACCTCTGTGGCAGCCAAAGGAACAGACCCAGCCAGCATAGGTTTATGAAAGACAAGTCCTGCTTGACCAACCTCATCTCTTTCTATGACTCGGTGACCTGCCTGGTGGATGAGTGAATGGCTGTTGACATATTCTACCTAGACTTCAGCAAAGCCTTTGACTCTACCTCTCACAATATTCTTCTGGAGAAGCTGGCAGTGTGTGGCTTAGATGAGTGTACTCTTTGCTGGGTAAAGAACCGGCTGAATGGCCGGGCCCAGAGAATGGTGGTGAATGGAGTTAAATCCAGCTGACAAATGGTCATGAGTGGTGTTCCCCAGGGGTTGGTGCTAGAGCTTGTCCTCTTCAATATCTTTATTGATGACCTGAACAAGGGGGTTGAGTGCACCCTGAGTAAGCTTGCAGATGACACCAAGTTGGGAGAAAAGGTTGATCTGCCTGAGGGTAGGAAAGCCCTACAGAGGGATCTGGATAGGCTGGATAGCTGGACTGAGGCCAATGGGATGAAGTTCAACAAGACCAATTGCCAACTCCTGCCTTTTGGTCACAATAATAACCATGCAATGCTACAGACTTTGGGCAGAGTGGCAGGAAAGCTGCATGGAAGTAAAGGACTCAGGGGGTACTGTTTGATACTTGGTTGAACATGAGCTAGCAGTGTGCCCAGGTGGCCAAGAATGTCGATGGCATCGTGGTTTGTATCAGAAATAGTGTAGTCAGCAGAAGCGGGGAGGTGATTGTTCCTTCACACTCAGTAGTGGTGAGGCCATACCCTGAGTGCAGTGTTCAGTTTTGGGCCTCTCACTACAAGAAAGACATTGAGGCCCTGTTGCACATCCAGAGAAGGGCAATGAAGCTGTGAGGGATCTGGAGCATAGGTCTTACGGGGAGTGGTTTAGGGAACTGGGTTTGTTTCCTCTGTAGAAGAGGATGCTCAGGGAGAATTTATCACTCTCTTCTCCACATCTTCTCCCAGGTAACATCGATAGGATGAGAGGTAATATTTTTAAGTTGCACCAGGTGAGGTTCAGATTGGATATTAGGAAAAAAATATTCTCAGAAAGAGTGGTGAGATATTGGAACAGGCTGCCCATGTAGACGGTGGAGTCACTGTCCCTGGAGGTGTTCAAGAAACGTGGAGAAGTGGCACTGAGGGACATGGGTCAGTGGGCATGGTGGGGATGGGCTGATGATTGGACTAGACGATCTTGGAGGTTTTTTCCAACCTGAATGACTATAATTCTGATTCTATTGCTTGGTGGCTTGTAAGTTACAACGTGCCTTTAATGTTTTGAAGAACTTGAATGTGAACAAGCTGTTTTGCCTGATTTTGCAAAGGCTTTATGTGCTGATATTATCTATTACATGCTTCAAATTGAAATAGAATAGCAGTATAAAGCATATCTTAGAATAGAACTGGAAGAACTGTGAAGAACTGGATAAAACATTTTTGGTTTATGTACATTAAACAAATGGGATGCTATTTTTGAACTAAACATTATTACAGTCAACATATTCCAGGCAAAAGGTTTTGTGGATCTCATTGTATTTTTTTCTTTTCTGTGTTTATTCTGATTTAATGTGTTTTGGTGTAGATAGCTATGATATCTATGAAATTATGTTTTTAGTTTAATAAAAGATCAGACTTTTTTAATAGCAGTTGTTACGAATGTGAACAGTGGCTTAAGCACAAACCTGCTTTATATACATGGAAAATAAATTTGAGCAAGAGATGTCTTCCACTATTCTGAAGCTGTATTTCTTTCTCATCTTAAGAGACCCCTGGGGATGTATTCTAATACATGCTATGTTGTACCAGGCTGGAAGACAGTTCTTACATAGACAATTCTTATAGTTGGTGACAGGTGAATCTGAGATCAAAGTCCAGTCAGTGTCTTAAGTTTTAAACTATCTCTGAATGACTTTGTAGCTTGAAGAGAGATGGGACATTCAATAGCTTTTTCAGTTTTTGAATAAAATAAAATCAAAGAATAAATTACTTTTCTTATGTTTGAGAAGAATTACTAAGATCATGAAGGATGAAAAATATGGCAGAAATGAGGTAGCTATTGTGACATTGTCTCTTAGTGTGGTTTGCTTGTCTAAATGAAATGAAGTGATTGTCCTCTTCTGCACTTCGACCAACTGAATTTTTCTGTTCTTACATTTTCTGTTGCATCTTACATATATGTTTGTTAGGAAAACATGTTCTTAGAGATAACTGGCAAATCTCGTCTCGTTTTTCAAGTTATTTTCTAACATTAGCTAATACAGTAGCTTTTAGTATGATAGTATTAGTTCTTGGAGTTTACTATCTCTGCAGGACCAAAAACACAATTTCAAATAGAGATTAAAACTTAAGAACTTCTCAGTCCCATCTGATAAAGTTATGATGAATTGCCACCTTATAAATTTTATATCTGATGAACTTGTATCTTAGTGTCTACCTAGACAACTGTAACTGCATTACAAATCCATCTAGAAATACCCAGATCACCATATATGTCTGGACTAAATATTGGTGTGTATCAAATTGCATTCATTCCACATGAAGTAGCGTAAATTATCATGTAGTTTTACTAAGTGTTGTTTGGGCTTCAAAAAGTACTCAGTCATCATACTGTACAAATATACATGTAATACTGTGGCGACACAGCCGTGACAAACTCACAGTAATGAACAGTGTATTATACTTTTTCTCTTCTCTAAATCCTTATTTAGATCAAGTTTAATGTAAAATCTTCGTGTGTCCATGTAGGATGCCTACCTTCCACAGTAATGCTGATACAACACAAATACACGAAAAGATTTGACAGCACCAGAATTGCTGGGGCTTTTTGATTACTTGCCCAGTTTACATCTTAGATTCTCACCAAAGAGTGTTTGTCTTCACATTTAAAAACTCTCTTTTATCACATAATGATATTTTGCAATTCATATCTCATTCATATTTTTAAAAATTAGAAAACAGTAGCACCTTTTTAGTGTTATTAGGGCATAAGCTGTTGAATGTAATTTCCACAGACTTCAAGCCTTAAAAACTAATAATTAAATTCATCACACTGTTCAGAGGCCAGGAACTATTTTGTGCTTTCTAAAAATAAACAGGCTTCACTACAGTATTCCTAATGACAACTAAGAAAACAATCTTTTATAAAAACAGTAGGGTATTTTTTTTATATTGTGTATTTTTCAAGTATGATTTTTTCGAACAATGAAGTAGCTATTTCCTTGGCTTTTAGTTATTTCTTCTAAGAAGAAAAGATTTAAAAAGAAAACACGAACAGCCTCTACCTGCCAAAAGCACAGTATGAGTATATCACTGTAACTAACGTATCTGCAGACACTTATCTTGATTCATAAGTGAAATATGCACAGTGTGTCTTTGTTATATTTTTTATTTAATATTTGATGCTTGTTTTCTTCCTGCGTGTGCTGCATTTGACTTTTTGTATTGCACAGGGTTAGTGAACGTGAAGCTGCACTGGAATCAGCCCTACTGATGTTGCAGGAATTCTACCTGGATCTTGAAAAGTTCCTCGCATGGCTTACAGAAGCTGAAACAACTGCTAATGTCCTGCAGGATGCTACACGCAAAGAAAATACACTAGAAGATCCCCAGATGGTTCGGGAGCTCATGAAACAGTGGCAGGTAAGTCAGGTGCTTCAGTTCAGAGGCATGTCTGTTATCCAACGAGACTTTTTTTTCCCCAGTGTGCAGCTACTCAACAAAATCGAAATAGTACTGAAAAAAAAAATCTGACTGCTGCTAACCCTTAAGTGTTGCTTTGTTGGAGAGATCTAAGGTCAGTTACAGTGATTCTATCTGACATCTTTCAGCATATATTGAATTTGAAGTGGTGTCTTGAAGTACAGATCAGAAAGGAAACTTTGTTGAAGTGGGTGCTTAGTTTAGTGTTTTTATCTAATAAAAATGAATTATTCTGCCACGTTACAGTCTTGAACTGAGCAAATGACAGAGATGATAGTTTCTTAAGCATGTCTGATATTTATAGAGATTACATGAATAGTTTCAAGTTTATTCTGTGTAGCTTGACTGAATTAGTTTTCATCCATTACTTTCAAATGTGTTAAATGTTAATCAGGTGTTTCGCTGATCATTGTCACCATTTTCTGTGACAATAACAAAAAGAGATAACAATAAAAATTGCCATAGAGAGTGTCTGGACAATTTTCAGAGAGTTGTTCTGTGAGAACCAAAAATCTTAATAAAGAGAGTAAATGTTGTATTTGGTGTTCGAGAGAATTCAGAGGAGAAAGAAGAATAAATGATGAGATGGTGCTCTTCAGGATCTGTTGTTATACTTTCATTATACTGTCCTCATTATTATTGAGAGGAATGTGTGTATGTCTGCATGAGTTCTTAAATATCTTAAATATGAGGTTAACTGGCTGTTTTAGAGGGCAGGATCCTATCAAACAAATTAGATGATTTTTATGTTGACAATGCATTCCAAACCTGATATTCCAGTCAGTGAAGACTCTGTTTTTTGGTTTATTTCTGAAAAACATAATGTGAAAAATCATATTTATAAGTGGTTATATGCATACTAAATGGAAGTATTACTACCTTCTTTTGGCACTATTGTATTAACCCATGGTTTTAACTCTATGACTGAACTGCTGCTAAATTCTGTTATGCTAGAGTTTTGAACCTACAGTCGTGGTGTTGTACAGAAGCACGATCTGAGCCATTTTTAATAGTGAGCTTTCTTTATAATAGTTGTACTGTGAGCTTAGACATCTTAAGTCTCCATGGATTTCCGAATTCAGTTGGCATGAACCCAGAGAGCAGGTTTGTGTGTGGATAATAGTGCTCTACTGAGCAGTTAATCTTCAGTACAAGCTGTCTTTTTATATTTTGTAGATTAGGTTTGGTGGTATTAAAACAATGGAATTATCAGGTATTTGCCAAAGTTTTTTTGTTTTTGTTTTTCCCATGTGATCACTGAAAAATGGATTATTGGTCAAAAAAAGAGATTCCTAAAAATTTAGGTCAAAGTTTTGTTCTTGAATGTACTGGAGTTTTGTAAACTTGTTTATCCATCTAGTAACTAAAGTTCCATCTAATAACTTTTTTTTGTAAATTTCCATATAGGTAACATCTGCATCCATAGACAAAAGGAAAAATAAATGTGTACAAGTCCTTCCCCTCAAAAATAAAAACATTAAAATAGTTACAATTCCATCATGTAAACAATTGCTTTGGACTGTAAGCTTTTTTTCTCTTTTATGCTCTTAAATTGAGATGTAAGATGAAAATTTTGTTTTTTTTATTTCCCTATTTTTGGTATGTAAGTATCAAGTCTTCTAAAGAAAGAAAGATGAAAACTACACTGCAGCTGCCATTTCATTTCTAAAAAGCTAGAATCTTTCTGTTCACTAACCTTGGCTGTACAAGAAAAAATATATATCTTTAAAGAAATATTAGTATGCTGAGGGGGAAAAAAAAAAAAAAAAAAAAAGGCAGCAGTTCTGCTGTCTTTTGTTTCTCAAAGATTCATATGTATGTGTCCAGCAGTAGCACAAAACATATGGGCTTTGGGTTAGAATTGGTAATTAAAGGAGCAAATATTTTGACAGTGGTGGTTTTTTAAATTCTTTGTATCTTCGTATTGATCTGCGTCTGTTAGATGGACCTGGTTTTCTTCCTGTGTTATCTGCCTATCTCGGTTTTTGTCAGCCTCTTTATGTCATTCTTAAGCCTCCTGAAGAAATCTCATAATTCACAAGCAGAAGTGGCTTTCAAATGCCCTTCTCCTGAATGGAGCCTGATTGCTATCTTTCTAATAGCTGGTAGAATTGTCTTGTTTCATTTTTTTTATGAAGCCAGAATAATCCAAGCCAGGATATTAAAGAGTGGGAATTTTTACTCGTGTATGTAGATAACTCATTGAATCAAGAAGAAAAGCAGAAAACTCAAAAATACGTTACAGGAGAATTAAGTAATTAGAGAGAAAGAATTTGGTCCAAAACAGCAGAGAGTATATTATAATGATCATTGCAAAAAGATCCTGGAAGGAAGATTTGCAGCCATACTGCTCTCTGTGCCATTGGAGATATGTCTGTAAATATACATGTTTATACGTATCTAAACAGGCCCAGAGAGCTGCCCAGTACGTGTCTTCCTTGTGCCCTACCCCAGTGCAGGAAAGGCTTGAACTGCTTTCAGCTACAGTTGCATTTTTCCAATTGACTCTTGGTTTTCCACTTGAAATCAGATATATATTTTTTTTTTCTCTCACCAGGTAGGCCAGGTCCAGATCATAGAAGTAAAAAACAGAAAAAGTAGTTTCTGATTAAAGATCACCATCTCCCAATCTTTTGAAAGAAAGTTTGACTATTTAGGCTTATGGAGTTTAAAGAAGTTACACTTAAGTGCGATAGATGCAGTTAGATTTGCAGTCTTGTTCTTTATGAAGCAGCGTGGACATGCAGACTGTGAAAATATGTGCGATGAGATGTTACAATTCTGTATTAATTTGCTATTTTTAGGCAATAGATGTAAATCAGTGCTTTGATGAACAATTTTACCTACAAATAATGAAAAAAACTAAATTTGTGAGCTCGGTAGTAGCTTTATCTCCTTGTCACTAAAGATATTTATTTGTCTTACCCTTGGTGATCTATCGGCTTTTTGCTTTACATTCTCATTGTTATTATGAAAATAATGTTTTGCTGCCCTGAAAGCACAGCAGGAATTGTTTATCTGGGAAAATCTCTCATTTCTGAGTGTTTCCTTTTCTTCACACATTAGAAACAAGTTGATCAAATGTCACTAATATTCATCTTCCCCTGGTGCTCAGCACTTCATTCATTAGCACAGGGAGAAGGTGAGGCTTACATAACCACATTTTAATTACATGATGATGTATATTATATCAAATGGTTGCACTATAAATACCTGGTTTGCTTATGTAAGCTTGTATTTCTATGCATCACCTGTCTGAATTGACTGCAATGTAGTAATTGAGGTGATTCACACTTTCAAAACACTTTCTGGGAGGATTTTCAAGGATAAAAACCAGTTTCTTCAAAGAGTTGAATGATTATGTGCTGATTTGTATTGTCTAATTTAAATGTATCATGTGTCCCTATCAGGCCATATTTGATATATAAATATGTGGGAGAGATGAAAATAATGAATTTTCCTTTTCATTTTCATATTTCTAAGAGATACAAATTCTCAACTGTGTTAATTACTCCTCCCGTTCATCTTTACAGAAATAATTCTATGTGACATTTTATACAGGTTATTAAATACTAAATGTAATTTTTACATCGTTGTGGATTTATCTTAGTATTTTATGAATGCAGTCACTTTATATTAAGCCTGTAGGTGAATTTACTTATGTATTTTATCACTGAAATTTGACAAAGAATACTGCACATAAACCTATTTTAACAGTAACTAGAGTGTGCTTCTATTCTGTTTACGGATTACCAGATATATCCGAAGTAATCTACAGTGTTGACTGATAAATATTAAAAGTATGACAACCTAAGATAAATGAGGCAGTCTTAATAGCTTTGGCTTGGAACGTGTATCAATTTTAATCTATGATCTAGATAGTTTTCCATCAGATTCAGGAGTTTTGGTGTTAATAATAAGAAAAATATGTAGTGCTGTAAGTTACACTTAAAAATGTGCAGTATGAACAGTAACAATATTTTTCCACAGTAGCTAAAACAAGGTACATGAACTTCAGGCAAAGCTTTATTGGTGTGTTTTGGTTTTTTTTTGCTTTCCTGTTTCTCTCAATACTTCAGAGGTGTTTGGCTATTCTTACTATTTCCAGGCAACTGTTTTCTCAACAGTACAAAGATGAAGTAGATACACATTCCTCACTCTACTCTTTTAAAAAGCAGAACAGATATTTTAAGAGAATAAAATTTTGCAACTCAATTTCATAACTTACTTATGATTGCTCATCACACTTAATTTTATTAGGTGGTGTACAGATTAGGTCATGACTAATAGAGAAAAGTATTTCTAACATTCTCACTCAGATCAGTTGACTTAATTAGTAATTATTTGATAGTAATTAGTTTTCTGGTGCTTCCAGTCTAGATTTTGAGATACTTCTTCGCTTTTGCTTGAAATCATGCTCTGAAAACTGAAAATCAAGCATGATCATCTTCCCTCATGTTTTGTTTTTTTTTTTTTTTTAAATCTAATACTCCATATTTACCTATTACACCAGCCAGATACCAATTCTGAAATATAGTCTTCTCCACAGGAAATGTAATAGCAATAGTTAGACACATCCTACTCCATCAGAAGTAGAAGATAAATCCCTAAATATATTTCTTATTGCAAGTGCTATGACAGCCTTATCTGATACAGGGCAAAATACTGTCTCAAAGTGAAAAGTTACGGTATGGATTTTGTGAAATACTTACATAATACTATTTTTAAAATGCCTTGTCAATAAGTGTTCATTTTATTAATTGGTGGAGGATGATCATTTCTTTGTTGTTAAAAGCAAAGATCAAACTGATCAAATGAAAACTCTATGAACATATGAACAGTTTCAGTTTTGATAGTCACAGCTCTCCTGAGCAGCAAGAAGACTCCCTCATAGCCAATTAATGTTTAGTGGCTCTGGAGCTTATGAAGGGAGGAATAAG